GTGCCGTAAGTGCCAGGGATGGGGTCACGGAACTAAAAATTGCTACATGCCAGCTAAATGCATGAATTGTGGTGATTCCTCTCACGCAAAGGACGACTGTCCTGTGAAGGAAGACCCTAAGAAATTTAAATGTTCAAATTGTGGTGAAAACCACAAATCCAATTTTTGGGAATGTAAGACTCGCAAAGCGATCCTACAATCTCGTTCTAAGCGACAGGTAGGAAACGCTCCACGTTTCCGAACAGGTACAAATTCCTCTGCTGTTAACAACGGTCAGCGAGGAACAAATTCTACATTCGTACCCGTAGGTACAAATATCACCCCTGCTTCAAATGTTTCATCTGTACCTACTCCCCTCGCTGCTAACAATGTTCAGCGAGTTAATGGAGCTACCTATGCTGCTATTGCAGCGGGTAGAAATCAAAATACTAACCAACGTTCTAACGGAAATTTTGACAATTTTGACTTAGGAAGCATTACTGCCCCTAAAATGGAATTTTTACAGAATTCATTAATTGACATGATTTCTGATATGCTTAAATCTAACTCCATGTTTGATGCTATTCAAACTGGAGTAAAATTTGCTAATAATATTGTCATGACTTTAAAATTCAGTAATGGATTTTAAAGCTTTAAACATTTTAAATTGGAACGCTCGATCTCTTAAAGATAATGAAGACGAGCTATTTAATTTTTTGAGGGTTCATAACGTGCATATTGCCGTTATAACTGAAACGTTCCTTAAACCTGACCATAAGGTTAAGAAGGACGCAAATTACTTGATTTATAGAAATGATCGTCTTGATGGACCCTGTGGTGGCGTTGCCATCATTATTCATAGACGAATCAAGCATAAAATTCTTTCTTCATTTCAAACCAAAGTTTTTGAAACTTTGGGAGTTTCTGTTGAAACAAAATTTGGACAACTTACGTTTATAGCTGCCTATTTGCCATTCCAATGCGTAGGCCAGCAAAAGAATTTTCTCAAGGGTGACCTCCAGAAACTTACCCGTCATAGGTCTAAATTCTTCATTATTGGTGATTTTAATGCAAAACACCGCTCATGGAATAATGCTCAAAGCAATTCCAATGGTAATATTCTGTTTGATGATTGTTCTGCAGGTTATTACACTATTCAATATCCAAACAGCCCAACATGCTTTTCTTCTGCAAGAAATCCCTCAACTATTGATTTGGTCTTAACTGATTCATGTCATCTTTGTAGCCAATTGGTTACCCATGCTGACTTCGGTTCTGATCACCTTCCAGTAACTTTTGAAATATCCCAAGAAATAATTTCCAATCCCAACAGCTTTACTTTCAATTACCATAGGGCTGATTGGGAGCAATATCGAACATTTATAGAATATAACTTCGATCCAAACATTCCTTTGCAAACCAAAGATGAAATTAATTATGCTCTTGAATCTCTGACTACTTCTATAGTTGAAGCAAGAGCTGCCTCAGTACCAAAATGCGAGGTTAAATTCGATTCAATTATAATAGACGATGATCTTCAGCTCTTGATCCGTCTTAAAAATGTCCGTAGGAGACAATTTCAAAGAACACGCGATCCTGCCATGAAAGTTATCTGGCGGGATTTGCAAAAACAAATTAAAAAGCGATTCTCTGCCCTGAGGAACAAAACTTTTGAAAATAATGTTTCTAAATTAGACCCGAGTTCCAAACCCTTTTGGAAACTCACAAAAATTTTGAAAAAACCTCAAAAGCCAATTCCAGCGCTTAAAGTAGGTGGTAAAATTTTGATCACAAATTTGGAAAAAGCTCAGAAACTTGCTAAGCAATTCGAGAGTTCCCATAATTTCAGTTTGGGTCTTACTAGTCCTATTGAGAATCAGGTTGCTCGGGATTTTCTGAATATTTTCTCTCGGGAAAATATTTTTGATGATTCCTGGGGGACTGATTTGGACGAAGTAAGGTCTATAACCAAAAAATTTCAAAATATGAAACCTCCAGGTGATGATGGTATTTTCTATATCCTCATCAAAAAACTCCCAGAGAGTACCTTGTCTTTCCTGGTAAAATTATTTAACAGATGTTTCCATTTGGCATACTTTCCTGATAAATGGAAAAATGCAAAAGTTGTTCCAATTTTGAAGCCGGATAAAAATCCAGCTGAAGCTTCTAGCTACCGTCCAATAAGTTTGCTTTCTTCAATAAGTAAACTTTTTGAAAAAATAATTTTGAATAGAATGATGCTTCACATCAACACGAACTCAATTTTTGCAGATGAGCAGTTTGGATTTCGCCATGGGCATTCAACTACTCATCAACTCTTGAGAGTTACCAATTTAATTCGTTCAAACAAATCTGAAGGCCACTCAACTGGAGTTGCTCTTCTAGACATAGAAAAAGCATTCGACAGTGTTTGGCATGAAGGTTTGATTGCTAAATTGAAAAAGTTTAATTTTCCACTTTACATTATGAAATTAGTTCAAAATTATTTAACTGACAGAACTCTGCAGGTAAATTATCAAAATTCCAAATCTAATCGACTACCTGTTAGAGCAGGAGTTCCTCAGGGTAGCATTCTTGGGCCTATATTGTATAACATTTTCACTTCGGACCTCCCTGATTTGCCTCAGGGTTGCCACAAATCTTTGTTCGCTGATGACACAGGCATTTCCGCTAAAGGAAGAAGTCTTCGTGTTATTTGCAGCAGACTTCAGAAAAGTTTAGATATTTTCTCTTCTTATTTACAAAAATGGAAGATTTCTCCCAACGCTTCCAAAACTCAACTTATAATATTTCCACATAAGCCCAGGGCTTCCTTTTTGAAACCTAGTAGTAGTCACATAGTCACTATGAACGGAGTTCCAATTTCCTGGTCAACCCAAGTGAAATATCTTGGATTAATACTTGACCATAAATTAACTTTTAAAGATCACATTGAGGGCATTCAAGCCAAATGTAACAAATATATAAAATGTTTGTATCCTCTTATAAACAGGAAATCCAAACTTTGCCTGACGAATAAACTTCTAATATTTAAACAAGTTTTTAGACCGGCCATGCTTTACGCTGTGCCAATATGGTCTAGTTGTTGCACTACCAGGAAAAAAGCACTTCAAAGGATTCAGAACAAAATTCTGAAGATGATTTTGAAGTTGCCTCCCTGGTACAGTACTACCGAAGTACATAGAATTTCGAATGTTGAGACTTTAGCACAAATGTCCAACAAAATAATTAATAATTTCCGGCAAAAATCGTTACAATCCTCAATTGCAACGATTAATTCCCTTTATACTTAGATAAGATTTAGTTTTAGTTATTTAGTTTTAAGCTATCAATTGTTATACTGACATGCAGGTTTAAAAAACCTGTTTAAAATACTGAATTGCCAAGACAGGAACAATGTAAAAACACTTAGATATATATCATAACAATTAAGGCTGGTAAGTTACTGTAGTAACTGGAGCACCTAGGTTAAAAATGAAATGTAATTTATTTTGAATTTGGAACAAATAAAGAGTTAAAAAAAAAAAAAAAAAAAAAAAGAAAGAACAACCAACAATCCGAGATGGTTTTTAATGTCCTATATGAAGACTGCTTTTCTTTTGTTAAAAATCTTCAATTAATTTTTTCCACAACAAAAGTAAACCGGGGAAATCACTCTATCTCTAACCCCAACCGTCAGATTGGCCTGAAATTTTTTCTACAAGTAGATGTCATTACCATCTGCCTTCTATAAAAATTTCAGCTTTATAAGTTGTGCCATTAATTTTTAAAAAATAGTGATAAGTTTATTACACAAAAAAGTATAATTATTCCACAACAAACGTAAAACGGGGAAATCACTCTATCTCAAACAACAAACATCAGATTGGCCTGAAAATTTTTCTACAAAGAGAAGTCATTACCAACTGCCTGCTGTGAAAATTTCAGCTTGATGAGTTGTACCGCTAATTTAAAAAAAATAGTGATAAGTTTATTACAGAAAAAAGTATAATTATTCCACAACAAACGTAAAACGGGGAAATCACTCTATCTCAAACAACAAACATAAGATTGGCCTGAAATTTTTTCTACAAGTAGAAGTCATTACCATCTGCCTTCAGAGAAAATTTCAGCTTGATGAGTTGTGCCGTTAATTTTTAAAAAATAGTGATAGGTTTATTACACAAAAAAGTATAATTATTCCACAACAAACGTAAAACGGGGAAATCACTCTATCTCAAACAACAAACATCAGATTGGCCTGAAATTTTTTCTACAAGTAGAAGTAATTACCATCTGCCTTCTGTGGAAATTTCAGCTTGATGAGATGTGCCGTTAATTTTAAAAAAATAGTGATAGGTTTATTACACAAAAAAGTATAATTATTCCACAACAAACGTAAAACGGGGAAATCACTCTATCTCAAACAACAAACATCAGATTGGCCTGAAATTTTTTCTACAAGTAGAAGTAACTACCATCTACCTTCAGAGAAAATTTCAGCTTGATGAGTTGTGCCGTTAATTTTTAAAAAATAGTGATAGGTTTATTACACAAAAAAGTATAATTATTCCACAACAAACGTAAAACGGGGAAATCACTCTATCTCAAACAACAAACATCAGATTGGCCTGAAATTTTTTCTACAAGTAGAAGTCATTACCAACTGTCTTCTGTGAAAATTTCAGCTTGATGAGTTGAGCCGTTAATTTTTAAAAAATAGTGATAGGTTTATTACACAAAAAAGTATAATTATTCCACAAAAAACGTAAAACGGGGAAATCACTCTATCTCAAACAACAAGCATTAGATTGTCCTGAAATTTTTTCTACAAGTAGAGGTCACTACCAACTGCCTTCTGTGAAAATTTCAGCTTGATTTGTTGTGCCGTTAATTAAAAAAAAATCGTAATAGATTTATAACACAACAGTAAAACAGGCAAATCGCTCTATCTCTAACCCCAACCTTCAGATTGGCCTGAAATTGTTTCTACAAGTAGAAATTATTGCAAACTCAACCATTATGGAGTAGTCACTACAAAGCGCACAAAAAAAAAAAAAAAAAAAAAAAAAAAAAAAAAAAAAAAAAAAAAAAAAAAAAAAAAAAAAAGTTTGGATTCCCTAACACAGACATCAGATTTCAGGTGTTAAGACTCATTGCCGTGTCTCATGGGGAAACTTTGAGCCAGGCTTCCGCTTTTTAATAAGGTAGTTTCTACGCCGATTTTTTTTCGATTCTAAACCCAATCACCCCGTTTGCAAGCAGGTTGAACGTTACTAAGAACAACCAACAATCCGAGATGGTTTTTAATGTCCTATATGAAGACTGCTTTTCTTTTGTTAAAAATCTTCAATTAATTTTTTCCACAACAAAAGTAAACCGGGGAAATCACTCTATCTCTAACCCCAACCGTCAGATTGGCCTGAAATTTTTTCTACAAGTAGATGTCATTACCATCTGCCTTCTTTAAAAATTTCAGCTTGATAAGTTGTGCCATTAATTTTTAAAAAATAGTGATAAGTTTATTACACAAAAAAGTATAATTATTCCACAACAAACGTAAAACGGGGAAATCACTCTATCTCAAACAACAAACATCAGATTGGCCTGAAAAATTTTCTACAAAGAGAAGTCATTACCAACTGCCTGCTGTAAAAATTTCAGCTTGATGAGTTGTGCCGTTAATTTTAAAAAAATAGTGATAAGTTTATTACAGAAAAAAGTATAATTATTCCACAACAAACGTAAAACGGGGAAATCACTCTATCTCAAACAACAAACATCAGATTGGCCTGAAATTTTTTCTACAAGTAGATGTCATTACCATCTGCCTTCAGAGAAAATTTCAGCTTGATGAGTTGTGCCGTTAATTTTTAAAAAATAGTGATAGGTTTATTACACAAAAAAGTATAATTATTCCACAACAAACGTTAAACGGGGAAATCACTCTATCTCAAACAACAAACATCAGATTGGCCTGAAATTTTTTCTACAAGTAGAAGTAATTACCATCTGCCTTCTGTGGAAATTTCAGCTTGATGAGATGTGCCGTTAATTTTTAAAAAATAGTGATAGGTTTATTACACAAAAAAGTATAATTATTCCACAAAAAACGTAAAACGGGGAAATCACTCTATCTCAAACAACAAACATCAGATTGGCCTGAAATTTTTTCTACAAGTAGAAGTAACTACCATCTGCCTTCAGAGAAAATTTCAGCTTGATGAGTTGTGCCGTTAATTTTTAAAAAATAGTGATAAGTTTATTACACAAAAAAGTATAATTATTCCACAACAAACGTAAAACGGGGAAATCACTCTATCTCAAACAACAAACATCAGATTGGCCTGAAATTTTTTCTACAAGTAGAAGTCATTACCAACTGTCTTCTGTGAAAATTTCAGCTTGATGAGTTGAGCCGTTAATTTTTAAAAAATAGTGATAAGTTTATTACAGAAAAAAGTATAATTATTCCACAACAAACGTAAAACGGGGAAATCACTCTATCTCAAACAACAAACATCAGATTGGCCTGAAAATTTTTCTACAAAGAGAAGTCATTACCAACTGCCTGCTGTAAAAATTTCAGCTTGATGAGTTGTGCCGTTAATTTAAAAAAAATAGTGATATGTTTATTACAGAAAAAAGTATAATTATTCCACAACAAACGTAAAACGGGGAAATCACTCTATCTCAAACAACAAACATCAGATTGGCCTGAAATTTTTTTCTACAAGTAGAAGTCATTACCATCTGCCTTCAGAGAAAATTTCAGCTTGATGAGTTGTGCCGTTAATTTTAAAAAAATAGTGATAGGTTTATTACACAAAAAAGTATAATTATTCCACAACAAACGTTAAACGGGGAAATCACTCTATCTCAAACAACAAACATCAGATTGGCCTGAAATTTTTTCTACAAGTAGAAGTAATTACCATCTGCCTTCTGTGGAAATTTCAGCTTGATGAGATGTGCCGTTAATTTTTAAAAAATAGTGATAGGTTTATTACACAAAAAAGTATAATTATTCCACAAAAAACGTAAAACGGGGAAATCACTCTATCTCAAACAACAAGCATTAGATTGTCCTGAAATTTTTTCTACAAGTAGAGGTCACTACCAACTGCCTTCTGTGAAAATTTCAGCTTGATTTGTTGTGCCGTTAATTAAAAAAAATCGTAATAGATTTATTACACAACAGTAAAACAGGCAAATCGCTCTATCTCTAACCCCAACCTTCAGATTGGCCTGAAATTGTTTCTACAAGTAGAAATTATTGCAAACTCAACCATTATGGAGTAGTCACTACAAAGCGCAAAAAAAAAAAAAAAAAAAAAGTTTGGATTCCCTAACACAGACATCAGATTTCAGGTGTTAAGACTCATTGCCGTGTCTCATGGGGAAACTTTGAGCCAGGCTTCCCCTTTTTAATAAGGTAGTTTCTACGCCGATTTTTTTTTCGATTCTAAACCCAATCACCCCGTTTGCAAGCAGGTTGAACGTTACTAAGAACAACCAACAATCCGAGATGGTTTTTAATGTCCTATATGAAGACTGCTTTTCTTTTGTTAAAAATCTTCAATTATTTTTTTCCACAACAAAAGTAAACCGGGGAAATCACTCTATCTCTAACCCCAACCGTCAGATTGGCCTGAAATTTTTTCTACAAGTAGATGTCATTACCAACTGTCTTCTATAAAAATTTCAGCTTGATAAGTTGTGCCATTAATTTTAAAAAATAGTGATAAGTTTATTACACCAAAAAAGTATAATTATTCCACAACAAACGTAAAACGGGGAAATCACTCTATCTCAAACAACAAACATCAGATTGGCCTGAAATTTTTTCTACAAGTAGAAGTCATTACCAACTGCCTGCTGTACAAATTTCAGCTTGATGAGTTGTGCCGTTAATTTAAAAAAAATAGTGATAAGTTTATTACAGAAAAAAGTATAATTATTCCACAACAAACGTAAAACGGGGAAATCACTCTATCTCAAACAACAAACATCAGATTGGCCTGAAATTTTTTCTACAAGTAGATGTCATTACCATCTGCCTTCAGAGAAAATTTCAGCTTGATGAGTTGTGCCGTTAATTTTTAAAAAATAGTGATAGGTTTATTACACAAAAAAGTATAATTATTCCACAACAAACGTTAAACGGGGAAATCACTCTATCTCAAACAACAAACATCAGATTGGCCTGAAATTTTTTCTACAAGTAGAAGTAATTACCATCTGCCTTCTGTGGAAATTTCAGCTTGATGAGATGTGCCGTTAATTTTTAAAAAATAGTGATAGGTTTATTACACAAAAAAGTATAATTATTCCACAAAAAACGTAAAACGGGGAAATCACTCTATCTCAAACAACAAACATCAGATTGGCCTGAAATTTTTTCTACAAGTAGAAGTAATTACCATCTGCCTTCTGTGGAAATTTCAGCTTGATGAGATGTGCCGTTAATTTTTAAAAAATAGTGATAGGTTTATTACACAAAAAAGTATAATTATTCCACAACAAACGTTAAACGGGGAAATCACTCTATCTCAAACAACAAACATCAGATTGGCCTGAAATTTTTTCTACAAGTAGATGTCATTACCATCTGCCTTCAGAGAAAATTTCAGCTTGATGAGTTGTGCCGTTAATTTTAAAAAAATAGTGATAGGTTTATTACACAAAAAAGTATAATTATTCCACAACAAACGTTAAACGGGGAAATCACTCTATCTCAAACAACAAACATCAGATTGGCCTGAAAATTTTTCTACAAGTAGAAGTAATTACCATCTGCCTTCTGTGGAAATTTCAGCTTGATGAGATGTGCCGTTAATTTTTAAAAAATAGTGATAGGTTTATTACACAAAAAAGTATAATTATTCCACAAAAAACGTAAAACGGGGAAATCACTCTATCTCAAACAACAAACATCAGATTGGCCTGAAATTTTTTCTACAAGTAGAAGTAACTACCATCTGCCTTCAGAGAAAATTTCAGCTTGATGAGTTGTGCCGTTAATTTTTAAAAAATAGTGATAGGTTTATTACACAAAAAAGTATAATTATTCCACAACAAACGTAAAACGGGGAAATCACTCTATCTCAAACAACAAACATCAGATTGGCCTGAATTTTTTTCTACAAGTAGAAGTCATTACCAACTGTCTTCTGTGAAAATTTCAGCTTGATGAGTTGAGCCGTTAATTTTTAAAAAATAGTGATAAGTTTATTACAGAAAAAAGTATAATTATTCCACAACAAACGTAAAACGGGGAAATCACTCTATCTCAAACAACAAACATCAGATTGGCCTGAAAATTTTTCTACAAAGAGAAGTCATTACCAACTGCCTGCTGTAAAAATTTCAGCTTGATGAGTTGTGCCGTTAATTTAAAAAAAATAGTGATATGTTTATTACAGAAAAAAGTATAATTATTCCACAACAAACGTAAAACGGGGAAATCACTCTATCTCAAACAACAAACATCAGATTGGCCTGAAATTTTTTCTACAAGTAGATGTCATTACCATCTGCCTTCAGAGAAAATTTCAGCTTGATGAGTTGTGCCGTTAATTTTTAAAAAATAGTGATAGGTTTATTACACAAAAAAGTATAATTATTCCACAACAAACGTTAAACGGGGAAATCACTCTATCTCAAACAACAAACATCAGATTGGCCTGAAATTTTTTCTACAAGTAGAAGTAATTACCATCTGCCTTCTGTGGAAATTTCAGCTTGATGAGTTGTGCCGTTAATTTTAAAAAAATAGTGATAATTTTATTACAGAAAAAAGTATAATTATTCCACAACAAACGAAAAACGGGGAAATCACTCTATCTCAAACAACAAACATCAGATGGGCCTGAAAATTTTTCTACAAAGAGAAGTCATTACCAACTGCCTGCTGTAAAAATTTCAGCTTGATGAGTTGTGCCGTTAATTTAAAAAAAAATAGTGATAAGTTTATTACAGAAAAAAGTATAATTATTCCACAACAAACGTAAAACGGGGAAATCACTCTATCTCAAACAACAAACATCAGATTGGCCTGAAATTTTTTTCTACAAGTAGAAGTCATTACCATCTGCCTTCAGAGAAAA